TTGGCCAGAGAAACATCCGAGGGCCAGTTGGCCATAATACCAGAAAAAAAACTTTGAAAATGTAAAATTCATTACACATTCAAAATATCCAAGAACAAGGTGGCACTGTAGACGGAGTTAATCCAGTTCTGGGAGATCTAATGCCCTCTCAGGAATACATGTGGCGCACATACAAACAGGCAGACAAAGCACTCCCAAGACTAAAACAAATCTTTTTTCTCACATGTTTAAAATAAGTTTTATTTAAATTAAAAACAATCTTATTTTACATACCAATCGCAGTTCCCTCCCTCTCCTCTCCTCCCATGCCCCCCACCAACTCCCTATCCTACTCCCCATCCACTCCCCAAGGAAAATGAGGCCTCCCATGAGGGATCATCAATTTTTGACACATCATTTGGGGCAGGACCTAGGTCCTCTCCCATGTATCTAGGCTGAGAGAGAACACTCCATAGGGAACAGGCTCCCAAAGCCCATTCATGCACTAAAGATAAATACTTGTTCCACTGCTAGAGGCCCCATTGACTGACTTCCCAGGCTTCCCAACTGACACCCACATTCAGAGGGCCTGGTTCAGTCCTATGCTGGTTCCCCAGCTGTCAGACTGGGGTCTGCGAGCTCCCACTTGCTCAGGTGAGCTGTTTCTGTGGATTTCCCCAGCATGATCTTGACCCCTTTGTTCATCACTCCTCCCTCTCTACAACTGGATTCCAGGAGTTCAGCTCAGTGCTTAGCTCTGAATCCCTGCTTCTGCTTCCATCAGTGACTAGATGAGGGTTCTATCATGTCATTTATGGTAGTCATCAATCTCATTATAGAGGAAGAACATTTAAGATAGCCTCTCCATTATTACTTAGATTCCTCTCTCCTACCTCCCTCCCATCCCAATTTGCTCAGGAGATCTTGTCCCTTTTCTCTTCTCTGGGGGACCATACATGTATGTCTTTCTTAGGGTCTTCCTTGTTTCCCAGATTCTCTGGGGTTGTAGATTGTAGGCTGGTAAACCTTTGCTCTGTGTCTAAAATCCATATATGAGTGAGTACATACCATGTTTGTCTTTTTGTGACTGGGTTACCTCACTCAGGATGGTTTCTTCTAGTTCCATCCATTTGCCTGCGAATTTCAAGATTTCATTTTTTGTTTGTTTTTTGTTTGTCTGTTTGTTTTTCTGCTGAATAGTACTCCATTGTGTAAATGTACCACATTTTCTTTATCCATTCTTCGGTCAAGGGGCATCTAGGTTTCTTCCAGGTCCTGGCTATAACAAATAATGCTGCTATGAACATAGTTGAACAGATGTCCTTGTGGTATGAATGTGCACCCTATGGGTACATGCCTAAGAGTGGAATTGCTGTAGACTGATACCCATTTTCCTGAGAAACCACCATACTGATTTCCAAAGTAACACTCCCACCAGCAGTAGAGGAGTGTTCCCCTTTCTCCACATCCTCTCCAGCATAAACTCTCTTTTGATGTTTATCATTTTAGCCATTCTGACAGGTATAAGATGGTATCTCAGAGTTGTTTTGATTTGCATTTCCCTGATGGCTAAAGATGTTGAGCAATGTCTTAAGTGTCTTTCAGTCATTTTAAAAGAACAGAATTAAGGGATATCCTTGCCCTATAGCCAAAAATAAGTACTAAGATTTTTACCATCATAAGAATACTGATGACGTCTGAAATGATTTCAGGTTCTCAGTAAGGGAAGTGGATTCCCAAATGGCAATGATCAGCAATGTTTGTTTAGCCTTCAGGAACGCATGTGCATGCACTTGGAATTTCATCCCAATTCCTCTCCACCTAGCAGTCATAGGCTTATAGGCTTCAAGGTACCATTTCAGTGCCTTTGTGAATAGCACAAGAAATAGAAGCAAGGTGGGCATGATGGCTCACTAAGGGGGCAGAGACAGAGGAATCAGGAGTTCAAGGCCATCTTACACAATGAGTTTGAAGCCAGCCTGGAATACACAAGGTGCTGTCAGGGATTATAGATCTCAGAAAAACCTGCCCAGAATAATAGCAAAGCAATAGACATTGTGCCTCAGCTGAGTCTGTTTCTCAACTGTAAAATGGAGACAATATTACCCACCTGTCCACAGAAGCGTTCTCCTGTAGGTCAGATTGCGAGAGCTGCATCAAAGTGCCCTGGGCGGGTTGCCCAATACACGAGGATGTTTGATGGGTGGATAATGATCTAAGGATAAAGAAGTGAGCAATGACAAAGAGAATGATAGAACCAAGATTCAGAAGGATTTCAACAGATTAGAATGACAGGGAAACTATTAACATGACTCTAAATCAAGACAAACCGGAATCCCTCAGAGAGGCTGTCAAAGGGAACTGTGAGGGTGTGATGGGTGAGAGGTGGGCTAATAGCAGCTCTCTTTTGATGTTTATCATTTTAGCCATTCTGACACACACACACACACAGCTGCAGTTGTCACCTGCCCAAGACAGACCAATGCCACTCATGTTCCATAGATCCTCAGATGCAGCAGGTCTGAGGTTCAAGCTGTGGCCCTACTGTGTGCCAGGTCAAGAAAACATGCCCCCTCACCCCAGAGTTTATAATCTAGTGATGGGGTTCAGGGAAAGAGAGAGGGAATTACAAACAAGGTGCTGAAGGACAACACTGGTCAATCCTACTGTGGGGACTTTAAGACTTAGATTTCTAGAACTGGATGCAAGCAGGTTGTGGGGTCAATGGGGGCATTCCTCAGCTTTTCTCCAACATAGCTATATCACTTGGGTCACAGGGTCCCCCAGTCTCCCTCTGAGGGCCCCCAACTTCCTGCCCAAGAAGAGACATTTGTAACTTCAGTCTGCTGTGGAAAGACCGCCAAAAGTTCATGCCACCCCTCCGAGGAATTGCACTCCCTCCCAACACTCCTTCCAAGTAATTAACTCCTTCCCCCTTCTCAAGGAAGTCTCTGCCCTTCTCAACCCAGCCTGGCAGAACCTGCTGGGCCAGAAACACACCTGGACCTGCTCTGCCTGCCTCTAAGCTCCTGAGAAGATCATGCACCTTCCTTCCCCAGAACCACTACACCCTGGCCTCCCCTCCTAGTCTCAGCATCCATGGTAGTCTCAGGGCACGCCACAGTCAGTTTTCAGGGGCAGAGTGGAAATGGACCCCGAGTAGCTCTCAAGCTCAAGTTTGATGTCACCACACATCCCTGCTCTCCTGTCCCCTGTCCATGCTAGCACATCCTAGAGAAAAGGCAAAGGCAGTGACCCGATGGCCGTGCAGAGACAGAAAGTGAGGTCCCCCAGAGGCAAATGGAGAAATGGAGGCGGTGAAGACGTGGGAGGGAGGAGGACAAAGGTAGAAACAGGCGCAGAAGTGTGGACAGGGCGGGCCCAGGGACAAACAGGGAAAGCCCGCAAACATGAGGGGCAGCACTGGGCAGGAAGGGACACCGCACAGGACTGCAGCGACAGGCCATGTGCTTTCCAGGCTTGAGGCCACCACAGTGAGGTCACACACTGCCTGGGGGGGGCCCACACACAGATCCCGGAGAACAATGACCCCCCCCAGATCTCACAGTTGGTGAAGGAGCCACCACCAGGTGGGGACCATGAGTGGCCTAGATTTAGGGCGTTAACTTGTAATGAATCTGGCAAATCACAGCAAGTGGGCTAGGTTGAGTCATAAAAACACTGGGATTTTCCACTCTGCAGCAAGTCTAAGTGGGAAGCCACAATCCTCCCCTGAAAGCCCCACCCATCCTCCATTCCACAGACACTTAGCTGGCACCAATAATATGCCTGGCCCTGGGTGGGGCCCTGGAGAGGTTACCACAAAGAGCAGGCACAGCTCCCCCAAAGAGACCAGGATTGAGACGGGGAACCGGAGGAGAGATAAGCTGCCAAGAGGCCCGTGCAAGTCTGCGGGCACCTGGAAGCAGTGCTCTTGTAAAGCTAACCTTCCAAAGGTACCTATAAAAGCTAGAGGAGCTGGAGGCCATCAGGATGGAGGACAGAGACATAAAAGTGGCAAGTAGGTAGGAAAAGCTGCCGAGTTTTACTCAGTCAGCAAGAGGCTGAAATACGGATTCCACCAGGGGATGATGGGAAGCACGCCCCCACCCCAGACCCGGAGTGCCTTCCTTTAAATCCCTGAACAAAGAGGAACACGCCACGTGCTTGGAGTTCAATCTTATGAAAATAGGGGCTTTGTCCTTTGTAGTGTTCACTTCAAAGTCTTTCCCCTAGTCCCTGCTTAAACCGTAGGAAACAACCAAATCGATGAGCTCAGGAACCGGGCCCACCCACAGAAGTCCGGCAGTCCGGAAGGACACCCCAGCTCTCCTGCACCATAGGCTCTCTCAGGGCTGCCGGTCTGGGGGTGGATATGGCTCCACCTTGCTCACCATAAAACTTGAACTCAGCCTGCACCGAACGCCCCCGTGTGCCTGAGACTGGTCCTAGGAAAGCACATCCTTCCCTACTCTCCCCACCCCCACCCTCATCCCCCACCCCCGCGTCAAACAGGATTAAGAGACAGAGGCAAACACACTTCAGACAGTGATGACTGTGCCTGTGCACTCCTCAGCTGAGCAGTGACACAACAGTGATTGAACGCCAAGAGTGAGTTCTTAGATCCCTGCTCACATCCACTCGTTAACCCTCAAATCAGTCTTGTGAGGCTGCTGTCAGTATAGGCTCTACTCAAAGTGACTGGTGGGGAGCTAGGAAGAATTTCTCAGAATTGACTTTGGAAAGGCCCTTGAAAAGAGCTGAGTGCTCTGGTTTTAGTTAAAGCAAATTTAAAAATCTGTGAAGATAGACAATCCAGACCATGCAGGCCTCATAAAGAGCTGACAGAGACGGGGGACCCTATGATTCCCCTGCAAAAGTCAATGAGTCCTTGAGTCCTGGAAGTAGGGATTAAGTCAAAGAGAAGGGATCTCTGCTTCAGAGGACAGAAAGAAAAGTCAGTAAATCAAAATTGACGTTAGTCCATGTTGTGCTTCTTTAACAGAATACTCAAGACTGGGTAATTTGCTAAAAAGCAAGATTTATTTTGTGTAGTCTGAACACTGTGAGGTCAGCATCTGGCCAAGGCCTTCTTGCCTATCATCCCCTGGCAGAGCGGGAAAGCACAGGAGAACAGGGGTTGCGGCATGAATGACATGGATGACACTCGTTTCCATAACAAACTCACGTTTACAGTAACAACATCAGTGCATTGGTTACCTCTAAAAAGGCCCACTCTCGGCACTATTGCCTATCAGGGATTGGACTTCTAATACGTGAATGTCAAGAGGTTCATTCAAACTGTGGCAGGCGGATTTAGGTGAGGGTGTTTCTTAGCATCTCATGACTATCCCTATGACTACTTCCTGTGTGGGAGCTGTTAAGTTCACCCTTGTTGGGAAGTGTGTCCCCCAGCCTCTATCCACCCAGAAAATACTACACTGTCAAGGATCTCTGACAGAAAGGCCTGTGAGGGTTGCATCCTACCCATGCTGTGCAGATCAGGAATGGCTGGTGTGTCTCTCTAAGGATGAACCACTAGACAAAACATTTCTTCTCCTGATGGCATGCCCAGGATGCCTTAGCAAGAATGACAAATGAACAGAGTCAATCTAATGACATCCAAGGTAAAGGGTCTGTGAAAAGCAAAACAGTGAGTGAATATGAGGTTGTAAAGGCTCACCATGTTGCAATAGATGTGAAAACACTCTAAAAGTCCAATCTGAGCCCCAAAGATGGGGAAAACATGCTTATGTATCCTTCTCTTCATGTCTGATAAAGCAAGAACCACCCCGTGTACATCTTTTGAACATCCGGTGAATGAGGGGTGCTGTCTTGGCTAAAATGATGAAGGCCCTTCCCTCTGGGAAGGAGGAGTTGGGGGTGGTGCTGCAGAATACAAAGGCTCTGGGGCCTCTCTCAGCTCCCTAGGGCCCAGCCAGGCGCGGGAAGACCACAAACACTGCTTGGCTGGTCTTCTGAGTGCTTTGTGGACAAGGCACGGAAGAATAGGGACACAGAATCCATTACAGACAAGTCACCACAGCCAGCAGTGCCTCCTGGAGGGACCAGGGAAAGACTGCTGGCCCTGTCCATCAGGGTCCCTCACAGAGCGATGATGAACTAAGTGGGCAGGTGGGAAGGGACTAGGATCACATCTTTTTTGTCTGATGCTTTTTTCATCAAACACCTGTAGCATGCAATGTCTCAGGCTCGGCTCAGGAGCTGACACGGTATATGTAGTGACAAAGAGATGTCAGCTGCTGTCCCAGAAAATCTGGTAACCCAGGAGAGAGCAGAAGGGGACCTCAGCCCTTAAATACGGGGGACATTCAAATGTGCACAAGTGGGGTATGTGCCGAGGAGGGTATTGGAGCTGCCAGACAGACCACGGGTGACTGCATACAAGGCAAGGGACAGGTAACAAGGGAAAGGGAGACTCACTGGCTGAGCAGGTGGGTGCCCTTGGGAGGGGAAGGTGAAGAGGGGAAGCAGCACCCAGACCCTGAGGATGGTGGGAGACACTGGAGGATGTCAGTAAGAGAGGAGGCTGTGATTGCAACACAAGGAGGGGGAACCAGGTGAGGCAGTGAAGAGAGGAGGGGACAGGGATGTGGAGCCAGGGTGGGAGCTGAGAACAGATACCCAGCAGGAGGCAGAGCATCCTCGGATGGGACTGGGGCCTCCCTCAGTGCTTGAAGTGAGGCCATGTCTTGATGATGTTGTACAATGCCTGTCCAGGGGACAGAGTATTGGACACATCACTGTGGCCCATCAGCAGGTAGTCAGGGGTCAGATACCCCTTAACCACGGCACACTGGATCAGGTCCTGAGCTGCTTCCAGAGAGGCTGCATTTGGAGGCTTTTCTGCAAAACACATGTACCATAATCATTAAGATCTCAAAGATGATTGCCTATGGCAGTGACAGGAGCCCAGAGTCCAGTCTTAACCGTCTCCCACACTAGTCTGTCCCACAATCACCATAGCCAACAACTAATTAGGCACAGAGCAAAGGCAAAACTATTGTGTTTCCTAATTCCGTTTGGCCAAAATTTTCTTTAGAAAATCCAAAACTGCCCTGGAATAGAACACTTAGCCTGGCACAGTTTCTCAGTACGTGCAGAAGGGATAGAGCTCGCAGAAATATCCTCTGCTATGCCTCACAGGTACTATGCAGCCCAGCACTGTTGCCATGGTTACTAAGGAAGGACACAAAATTCCCACATGAGACATAAAGGTAACAATGTTTTCAAAAGACATTTTTTTCATCCTTCTCTCCCTGTTTGCCTTGGGTATTCTGCCTTTTGTACATAAAGTGAGGTCGTTTGGGGCGGATAGTTTGGGGGCAAATATTCTATTTGGGAGATGCCCCTAGCAGTGGTCACCCTTTACCGAGAATTTCCTAAAATATTCTGCTGATGCTACCATGTATTTCCAGCATCACAATGCTGTCCCCATTGGCCCGGTGTTTCCTGAGTATCCCCCATATGATGCCCCTTATGCCTTACCTACAAAGTTTCCCATGAAGGCAATTCCAAAAGCAATGTCATTGTATCCATAGGTGTGAGAGCCTTCAATGTGCCAGCCAACTCCTTCATACACTCCACCATCCTGGCCCACTAGAAAGCTAGGATTGGATAAAGAGAACAAGCAAGTCTGAGGAGCCCAATTTTCTCCAGTCATTCCTTCCCCCACTAATCTGTCCTTTCATCCATTTATCAGTTCCGTCTGCAAGTCCTGTGTGTGCCAGTGTGCAGAAATCAGAAGCAAAACCACAGCTCTGTACTGTGCCTCCATCCCCAGCGTTGACTCTGGCTCAACCAAGGCGGCTGTGGACTTCCTCCACACTATGGGCAATGGGCGTTTTGACCAGTGACCGTTCTGGTCCTGAAGCTTCCACAGGCAATAACCTCCGTAGTTCCTCTCCTTTGCCCTTGACAAAGAGATTGGGGGAGGGGTGACAGACTCTGCTAGAGCATAGTGACATACTGCAGAAGCAAACTCATCCGAGACTGGTCACAAGACTCATTGTTTAAGTCCCTAATAAATAACTGAGGTCTCTTGCACGCTAACCCTAAGTCCCACCTATAAAAAGTACAAGGCATCTCCCAAATCTCTCCAAATCTGTATTGCATTGACTGATATGTTTCTTTAATCTAATGCTGGTGCGCAAGGAACCAGGAGAGGCTATTTGATCTCGCGTCCTGTCTTCAACTGAAAAGTGTCCCCTACTGTAGAGATGAGACAAAGGAGCCCAGAGGGGCTAAAAGTCCTGTGTGGTGAGCAGCTAAAGACTGGTAAGAGTCTAACATCAGCGAGAGCAAGCTGGAGCTGGCCAGGACCGTCACCCCTACTCAGCCATTCTTGCTTTCTCAATGCCTCTTATGCAGTATTTTCAGTCTTTCTGATCTGGAAGAACTGGAGAACATGCCTGAGAGGTTAGGTAGCCCAAACTGTGGCCCGAGTGATACCCAATCCAGATTCTCACAAGAATAAAGTACAGCACCTGCATAAAACCCTGAGCTCCCCGGCTTTGCTCTCCGCAGCTCCAAAGAAAAAAGGGCCGTTTCCTACTTACTGATAGGCAATGTCACAGAAGTCTTGATTGTCTATATGAAAAGACTGTGTGTCTCTGACACGAATCAAGCAGTCTGCAGACTCATTGCAGCTTCTCCCAGCAGTGTGGATGATAATGACAAATTTGGCTGGGAGGTTCATTTGAGAGCAGTGTGTCTCTCTGGCTTCCCAAGCAGACCGTGGGAAGATACTGGGGCATGCTGCAGTAAAAGGAACCAAAGGGATGAGCCAGAAGCTGATTCACACCACTCTCTCTACTGGTGTGTCCTGCATGCGAACTTGGCAGGAGTCTGGAAAGGCCAGGTGCCGGGATCAGGACACTGGAGCAAAAAGCATGGATTTTAATCATGTAAGAGCCAATATGAAAACAGAAGAGACAGACTGCTCAGACAGAGGCATGACTGTATTCTTCATATCACAAGATACCCACCTACTTATATGTATGCTGTACAATAAGGTGGATATGTCCAAATCATCTCAATCTTTAATGGAGTTGCTGTGGAAATAAGACAAAGACTACCAAGAACTCACAATGTTAATGAATTATCATTGTTAAAGATACTACCAGCCCAAAAGCAAGAAAATTTTTATTTCAAAATTTTATTATAATTTAAAAAAACTAATTTTAAAACATCACTGGGTCAGAGAAAAGTGCTGTGTTAGCAGAGAGCTAAGCTACTGAAAGTGCTTATGAATTTTATTGGTTTCAGTTTACTGACCATTCCTCCCAAACTAGCACATTATTTTCGTTATTTGGTTTCTTAGAATAATCATTCTAATATCAGCACTACCTGTAAGTTCAAATGTTTCTAATCACCATGGTCATGGAAAAGATTGGCTGGTTTTGGAAAGGTGCACACACGTGTGTGTGTGTGTGTGTGTGTGTGTGTGTGTGTGTGTGTGTGTTCTCACAGTATGTAAATATATCTACTCCAATCCACATCTTACTTTCCCCTCTCACTTCCGTACTTTCTCATACTCTTACTTTCCTCACTGAACCGCAGGTTCCTTGATGGAGAGAGTTTTGTCTGACTTTTTCACAGATGTATGATAACTCTGAAGACTTCATGCTTCTTGTAGACTCCGTAAAACCATGAGCACACATATATTTGTGGCAAGAATGGTTCTGTGATGGTACCATTCTGGTGGGATGGAGAGGCTGGGAAGAATGTCTTCTTAACTTCTCCAATTAATAGGGATGTTATTCAGTAGTAGAGTACTTGTCTAGCGTGTTCAAGCCCCAAATTAATCCTCAATAACAAAAAACTTAATAATAACTTCCTGATTTTATAGTTATGGCGCACATGAAAGGTCCAAGAAACCCTTGAGAGCCTAACAGGAAAACATTCCCAAATGTAGTTGCAGGGCAATGCAAAGATATGTGAGCTGGGCTGAGGTCCTCACCTTTCCTGGGCATCTCTGGATGCTGAGGAATCAAGCAGGTCTCTTCTTTTAAAAGAAGTGGCTGGATGTACCTGGGCGACAGGTAACCATTCTGGATGGCACGGGAGATCAGGTCCTCTGCAACTGATATAGCAGCGGGACTGGGGCTGCTGCCTTCATGAGAGTAACATGAAATAAACATTGTCAGTAAGGAACTCCAGCCTGGACAGCAGCAGCGGGGAGGGCCAAGACACCACCTGACCAGAGGGACTGGTAGATGGGAAGAGAAAAGACAGCCAGAAAGCCCGAGAGAGATGAACTACTTGGCCAGAACTCTAAGCAACTACAAGTAGAAACTTCTTCTAAGGGCCAAACTGTGACTATTCTGCCTTAAAAATCAGATGAAAGATACATGGGAAAAGACTTACTTGACCAAGTCAGAAGTACCCTAACCTGTGGGAAAGAGTGACAGTATTTTCTGAGAAACTGCCAGGATCAGGCATGCCTTAAACTCTTTTTATGTCCATTAATCTATATGATTCTTGCCAAACCTCCCTTAACACATGCCAGTAAGATCCCCAGTAAAGAACGGTGGATACCTCTTATTGACATATTAGCCTTCAACACCATCCCTGTACTCTGCTCTGCTCTGGTTGGGGGTGGAGGATCAAAAACTACTTCTCTGACTTTGCCTGCTGACCTATTTTTTGTGTGTCCCTATCAACAAAAGACATTGAAAGAAGAAATAATCCATGCTGTCTACTTCTGGCAATTAAAATATCGGTGGCAGATGATTCAGATTCCATTGGCCATACTGTGAACTCCATGTCTGTGGCAGCTGCAGCAATATATAAGCAAGTATAGACCAGGACAAATGCATGTCATAGAGTGCAACAGCAGAAGGGATTTCCAGAAGCAGTGATTACCAGAGATGGTAAGTACAAGGTAAACTAAAAAGATGAGTGTTGGGCAAGAAGGTGGGAGAAGGGTGGAGGCCATCTTCTGAGCCTGGAGAGGATTGGCATTACCTATTTTACTGCCAAAGAAGCCAATGCCCAGGGAGACATTACTGTAGCCTTGAGCATACAAGCCTTGGACATGCCAACCGACACCTTCATACACATTGCCATCATCCCCAACCAGGAAGCTGCCAAGCAAAAATGCAGATTTAGTGGTAAGCCTCTGTATCAAGAAAATTCACTTTCCAAGAGTGTCCTAGCGGCTCATAACAAAGTGAGTTTCAAGAACATAATAATGAAGAACAAAACAGACAATTTTAGACCTCCTAAAGAAACAAGAATGTATTTCAATTTTAGTTTTGAGTTAGCTTGCAGGTGTTTGCCAGACTCTCACTTAAAAAACAATACTTTGGTCAAAGTGGAATTTGAATGTGTGACTCTCCAAGACCTGAAGACAATTACTGCATCTTTTCCAGGGCCTGCTGGTTAATTTGCTGGTTTTGTTGTTGGTATTTGTGGGTAGGCAGGCATTGCAACATGATCTCTCCCTGTTACTCAGGCTAGCCTGGAACTTACTGAAGAGCCCAAGCTGGCCTTGAGGTCACAGCAGTCCTCCTGTATCAGCCTTTTAAGAACTGTCTTTACAGTTATGCACCACTACACCCAGTTTAGTCCACCATGCTTTTTGTTGTTGTTTTTAACTATAGGACCAAGCACTTGCACATTCTTTAATACAACTAACTACAACCCAAGAGTTTCTTTAAACTGACTCATTGCAAGTTCCTGTAGGCTCTTAAATCACAGAATTTTGTTTCGTTTCATTTTATTAAGTTTCATTTTTTAAATCACGTCTATATTCTTTTCTTCCACCCCTTCTTTTATTTCTGTCCATTCTGCTGTTCTCTACTTTCCAATCTGTCTTGAAAATGGTGTTTCATAACTCTTGCTATATTCAGTGGTTTACAAGACGGTGAATTCCAAAGCAAGCTGAAGGCAGAAAGAACACTCTCCAAGGTCAAGTAAAGTCCCTGCTCATTTGGGGCTCTTTCATCTGACACTGAGAGTCGGCTGGCACCTGAAGCGTGCCCACCACGTCTCTGCTTTGCGGTGTTTCCAGCAGGTTCCTCTGTTACTTCTGCAGAGGCCTTGGTTAGTTCAATGTCAACACTCCCTATGGCTACAGTAACCACACTATCAAAATGAGGTGTACATTATCATCGCAGAAACATGATTTTTAGAGGCAAAGCCATTGAAATCGCTGAGAAACACCATGATTGAAATAAGCAACACTTGGGTGACAGTCATGAGGCAATGGGGGACAGGGATGGGAAGATAAACTATAGTTTAATAAAGTTAACACAACTTCCACTAAAGGCTGACCGGGGGTCCCTGGTGACACACAGATGCAGGCGGTACAGCCAGCCCCCAGCTGCTCTTACTTATTGAGGCCTAAAACTGGAAGTTTGTGGAAGCATAGACTATCCTTTCCAAAACGGATACTTGGCAAGTTATTTCTATTTGTCTTTTCAATCCCCCATCACTGCTCTTTCTCCTCACGTGTTTGTGAGCTTCCTCATTCTTGAGGGTAATGAGAAAAACTTGGGGACCTTCAATAGAGCCCTCAAAGTAGATCCTCTCTGCACAATACAAGAATCTTTCATGCCTTACACTCATTTTAACATGGGCTCACCTCCCTACCATTCCCCAAGCCTACTTATCCCCTTGTGATACCCTGTGGCCATTCAGGATAGTAAACAGGAAAATACTTCATGGGTATGGGCCCTGACTGGAAGGGAAGGGGAGTGGACTGTGTAAACACAGTCTCGACACAATTCTGAACCCATTCTCTTTGCTATGTACCACTTAAAAAAAATTCTTTGGTGTCCATAGACTGTGACATTCTCATTTAGGTGATAAAGAAAGTAATCTTTCTCGTCCCCTACTGCTCCTAATTGGGTAATAGCAATGAAGACCTTTGTGAGCTGTCATGCTGGGGGCCCCTGGGGGTGTCTGCAGTTTTGTAACCTTCTGTGTGTCCTTTCAGGATCTCTCGGTGTAAAAGCACCCTTGAATACATGGCTCAGGGTTGTTTGTTCCTCCTACTGACTTCTGGGATTTTGTTTGAGTTCTATTTCCTGACACTTTTCGGTCATCATAAACACAACACAAATGAAGCTCAGAAAATGGGATATACAGAGTAAGGAAAACAAGGAGAATGCTGCAAGGGATAGCACTGAGTGTGGCATTTGGAGACTTGACCAGCCTCTTACTTGAAGGCTACATCACACCAGCCTTTGTTGTAGACAGAATGGGACTGTAGGACCCGCAACATCTGGCTGCAGGTAGTCTGATCTTGGCACTCCATCCTGGTAAGTTGCTCTGTGATGAGGTAGTCCACAGGCAGTCTCAGCGGCACTCTGCAGGTGAGGGAACTTGCTCCCCACTCCTTCCGGGAAACTATGGTAGGACTGCCTGTAAAGAGAGACCACAGACCATCGTATAACAGACCATACCCAAGACACTAGCTTCCCCACTGTGGTGTCTGGAAACCCTGGAGCGAGTTCCATCACCCACAACTACCCATTCTCATCTCCACAGCCCAGCTTGGGCTCACTCACCTGGATCTGTACTTAGCTTTGTCAAGTTGCCTGGTTAGTAGGAACGACTGCTGAACCTATTTGGGAACCTATTTGTATCTTCAAGGGTGGAGCATGAGCAATAAGGGGTGCAAGGACTCACAAATGAGCCAAGAGAACATGGCCTTTATTAAATTCTGTCTCTGAGGACAGTCGCAGTGACCCATATATCTATTAAGTTTGATCAAGGTAATGACAACCATCTTGGTATGTGGCACTATGATACTATCCATGGATCTGTTGGTAGATATGCATGTGGCCCAGAATTGCTCTGATAAGGGACCAGGGAAGGCTTCAGTGGCCCTAGGGAGAGTGAGTGAAGGTAGATGTAATGAAAACCCTCACTGGGTAGGAGACTGGGACAATAAAACCCACAGAGGTAAAAATTGTCCATCAGCCAGTGAATACTACAAATACAAAGCAGAACCAGGCAACTGGCTGAGGGCTAATTCCAACTCCCTGCCACTTGGGCAACTCACTTCCCCATCAGGCCTTATTCCTCATGCACAACATGAAAAAAAATCAGCTATGCACCCTTTGATCTGTGAGTTTCTCCACCACTAACTCATGTAACCCAGTAGGGTAGAAGGCAGAGAGATAGCTAAATTGTGTCAAACAACATGCAAACATGCCCAGCACTTAAGAATTGCCAAACTCAGGTCCATTTAATCCAACAAAATTCACATATATTTACTTCTTGTCTAATCACTTTATAAAATGATAAAACATATTGTGGGGTTCTAAAGGCAGCATCGCACCAACATAACTGGTATTTTTTACAAATGTAAACTCTGGGCTGGGTTTAACTTGATGATAGTGGTGATGGTGGTGGTGATTAGATGGTAAGACAGTCTACAAATTATCACACATTCATGATTTGAACACTGTGCTGAACATTTACAGTCCAAATGACTAGACTTATAATCATCGAAGAGACAAGTCTCTAGGCATGTCCACAAGGATGATCTAGATTAGGTTAGTTAACTGGGAAGCTCTGCCTTTATTTTAAACAGCACATTCCATGAGTTGGGTAACAGACTGAATACGAGGAGGCTGAGCATCTGCATTCATCGCTCTCTGCATCACAGCTATGGAAACGGGTGACCAAATGCCTCAAGTTCCTGCCATCGTGTCTTCCCACAATTATGGTTATACAGTCACACACACACACACACACACACACACACACACACACACGCACGCACGCACGCACGTATGTATATATGCATGTGTATGTATATACATATATATATAAAACCTTTTCTTAAATATTTTGTCACAGAAAAGTAATCAATACAATACCTAATTGAATCCTCACTAACAGAAGAGTGATTCTTTTTGATAAATGCCTGCATCTATAAATATATGAATAAATGGGGTTTTATTGCGTGACTCATTTCAATAATGCAGTTATGAGTCCTATACTGACGTGTGGAGGGTCACAGCAGCTGGCAGGATGCTGACGGCAGTCTGCCAATTCCAGAGCAGTGCGACAAGTGGCAAAGCCATACACTCTAGTAAAGACAACACTGGGGGCATTTCTTTTTTTCCACATAAGGACAGTTGTGTGTCACTCAGCAAAAACACTTCTGGTGAAAAGAAAGAAAACTTACCATACGTCGGGAGACCCAGAGCAGAGAAAATAAGAAGCCAGGGCAGCATTTTCAAGTGGTCCCAAGATACCAACGGGGAGTCTTATCGGCAGTCCTGGAGGGCAACGGGCCTAGAGAACACAGACAGGTAGCATGACTGTGCTAGCTGTATGACACCCTGTCTGTTTCCTACTCCCTGTGAGCCTCCTGGGGGCCAGCACCTGGCTCGGGTTTTCCAGGGCCACCTGCACACCTCGGTCGTTCCATAGATGTGAGGAGCCTAAAGCCCATATCTAGCAAGCCCTCTCCACAGCCACTTTCTTCAGCCCAGGAGACACTTGTATCTTGCAGAGGATGTGGTTGATACCTTCCACAACAGACAAATACAGTTTCTGAAGTACTTCAGTGGCAATAGTAGTGACCCTGTATAGACATTTTCATTTCTAATGCTGCAATTTTATATTTGGCTCTTACACAATCCCTGTAAGACAATTATCCATGTGGTGATATATTATTTATGATTTATTAAAGCTTGCCTGAGGATTCAGAAAGCAAAGTCAGCCTCAAGTTATAGAGATCAGGCAGTGGTGGTACGTCCCCTTAATCCCAGGACTCAGGATTAAGAGGTAGGCAGATCTCTGTTAATTCAAGGCCACACTGCGCTACACAAACTGATCCAGCCCTAAAGAAAAATAGCTCACACAAAGATGATCTCAGCACTTGGGATCACACACCTTTAATCCCAGCACTAGGGAGGTATAAAATGCAAGGGTCTCATGTGAAGCAGTTAATCTCTAGCCACATTATGGAGAGCTTAGCAGTCTGAGGGAATCTGAGGAACAGTGAAGTTTGGAACAGTTTGAGGATCGCCCCTTTGGTCTGTGCTGAGGTAGAGGTAAGAGTTAGTGGCTGGGCTGCTTTGCTTTTCTGATCTTCAGCTTGAAACTTGAACTTCAATATCTGTCTCTGGGTCGTTTATCTATCAAGCTACATATCCTGAAAGCTATCTCTTAAACTTAAACAGAGACTATTCAGCATTGAACAATAAGTAGAGTCAGGTATAGGCTCCATCACTTGAACCATTGGACAATCAGAGGTATGGGAAGTCATAGAGTCAAGGTCCCTATTCTAAGATCTCAGAGGAATGATGGTCAGTCTTTACTCTTACATGAAGATAACCAGCTGTTTCCACTCACCAATCACATTCTGTGGTCCAAATACGGTGTGAGAACTCTTTAGACACTTCACTAAGCCTCAAAGTGAACTGTGAGAACATATGTCCAAGAGTTTAAGTCACATGCCCAAATTCCCAAGTGAGTATGGACAAAGACTACCCCTCCTAGCCAGACCTGTCAGACTCCTGGACCTCTAATGGAAGCCCCAGCTCTGCCTTTGTTTCTGTTGGTGAAGATTCTCAGCATGGGACTAAGGCATAAAGTGCAGGATTACTTCAGTGTTCCCCAGATCCAAGAATCTCGTCTGCCCTGTAGGCAGAAATGAACTTCTTACTCACACTCAGTGTGAAATGTCCACTCCCTATGTTGTCAACCAAGTCATCAACTTTCCCCAGTTGAGAAACAACAATTCAGAGGGTGCTGAGGTAAAATGTCATAGACATCACCCTGCACTGTTTTGTTACTACAGCTGCTACCTCCAGATGTAAATGTTTGACACTACACCTTAAGAATTGAGCATATGAAGGATTCTAGCGCAACACAGAAAAACATGAGATAACACACAAGAACCCATTGATTCAGAAAACTTTCCTCCAACTACTCCCCTGCCCCCGCCTCAAATGAGCCCATCATAGAAGGGCAGGAACCTCATAGGTATGTGTGAGAAATCCAGCGTCTTCATCAACCAACAGAAGCAAGAACCAGCTTGCTCATGGCAGAACCGCTGCCAGCTAGCCTGCCAGAAAACTGCTAGAAAACATTGTCAGTCCTGGTCAACAGAGTGTTTGTATCCTGGTCATGTAACTTTTCTGCTTCCCTAACCATGAGAATTAATGGCACGGGCCATATTTTAACCTTGGTGGACCACACACCTGAACTCGGAAGGATGACAACAGGCCTGATCTTACAGCCACCGAGCTGATGGCCTCTCTGTACTCCCCAACTGGCTCACATTGCTATGCGTCCTCTATCCATAAAAGAAACAATAGGCAAAGTCTCAAGCCTTGAAAGACAGGGAAGAAATGGTACAGAGGGAAATCCAAAACCAACCGCCTATGCAGGATGATAAAGGAGTGCTCGTACCTGATCCATCTAGAAAGACAGAGAAAACTTTCCTGTTTGGAGCACAGCTTAAACAAGAGAGAAGAACTTCCTTCACCATGTTTAGATGTCACAGACAGAGTCTTAGGGGGAAAAGAGCATCTGAAGACCCTTCACATTCAGAAATACCTGTCCCAGCCAGGCAGGGCGAGTGCAGTCTCCCTTATTGGCTGCCGGTTTCCTTCTTTAGCCTCAGGTCCCAGTCCCTGCCCCTTTTCCAGCAGGAGCCTCCTCCCCCAGCCTTAGCTTTCTCTAGAAGGGCACTCCCTCCTGGGAATGCAGCACTCAGGCTCTGGTTTCCCAAAGAGAAGCTGACAATGATAAGTCCCCCTAACAGAAGACAGGCAGGCAGCCCTCTGAGGCTCGTTGCTGCCTTGCTGAAATCAGAGAAACTGGGACTGACAGCACCCGGGGAAAACCCAGTGAATAAACCCAGGTTCCTCCTCCCTGGGCAAGACCTGGATTGCCACATCCTTCAGAGTGTCTTCCTAACAGCATGCCTCAGTCAGCCCTGCCAACCAGCCACTAGGGCCTACCACACACTGGGGAAAGGAGGCTTCAAAGACCATTGATTGCTATCGAGACAAAGTAGTTCTCAGCGGCATCTTCTAGATGTAGAGGTGGAAAGAGACAGGTTCACTTACTGTCCTGGGACCAGGCGCTAGTCCTAATTTGATTGTATGCATTCTGTTCTGCTTTGCCTTCTCCTATGTTTAAATGGCTCCTCTCCTGTGACAACAACACAGCACCACAAACACATCAAGGCATTTGCTTCAACTTATGCTCCATCAGAGATAACCCCTTAACAACAACAACAAAACAGGCCCTTTGGGTGGCCTGAAATTATAGACCTTGTGTTGGAAGATAATAGTTTTTCTCAGTTTTGGATTTGGTTGGGAGAGTACATCCACTAAAAAGGGATATACACCCTTCAACCTTGTAATTACATTATCTGTCAAGGACTGTATCATTTGCAAAGCATTTCCACAGCATCTCCAGGTGTCATTGGGGTATACTGTTACCTGTGGCATACTGGCTGAGTTCTACCTGCATAAGGGGAATCAAGAATAAATGTGGCCACTTCTGGTCACATTTAAAGAACCAGAAATTTGGAGAAAGCTTGCCATGACTTAATATTCAAAAAATTTGAAGTCAGCTGTAAAAAGGTAAAAGTCTCATCATGGCACTGAATTCACCAGATGCAGGATGTTAGACACTCCCATTTACTTCCCTGGACCTGTTTCCTCAGCTGCCAGGTGCAAATGATAGTGTTTACACAATTGTTGTGAAGTTTCATGAATACTGAAAGCCTGTGCACATAGAGAGGACTCTACCAATGCCGGTAAGCCCACAGCAGGGGCTCCTGGTCAACAGCTGCCTCTGTAGCTCTGTTCTTGTTGATTTCAGTCCCAGATATGACTCGTTAAGGCATCCCCCCCCCCATCTGCTCTTCATCCAACCTAGCACCAGCTGCCTGATGAATCTGGGGGCTCTTACCAGAGACCCATCCAATCAAAAAGATACTTTAGGTATTCTAATAAAGTAATACAAAATACCAAGCAGTACATTCCTTGAACTCCTGGGATTCAATATTCATCCACTTAACTCTTAGTGAGAAACTACTACACAGGAGGCGCTGGATACTCTGTGTAGGAAAGCAGGTGAGTATCCTGAGTCTGCAGGGAGTTGGTCTTCTGGGATGTTTATGGTGCTGAGTTACTGTAATCTCAACCCCTCATTTATTAGCAATTTCAGAGTGGTCATATGCCAGTGGTACCATTCCTTTTCATGCACTTATTATAATACTATGTTAGAGGAAGTTTCTCTAGCACTTTTTCCAGTTATATTCCTTTTATAGGCAAACCTCTATCTCCAGCAATATTTACATTACGATTCATGACAGTAGCAAAATTACAGTTGTGAAGTAATAACCTATGGTTTGGGGTCAGCACAACGTGCGGAACTATACCAAAGGGTCGTGGCATTTGGAAAGTTGAGAACCACAATAAGGTCCTTATTGCTTCCAGATATATAAAATGTTTCTGCTTCTATGTTCACTGCTCCACTCTTGAAATCAGCCATTGCTCCAAGAAACACTGAGTGCTGGAAGGTGATTCCGAATGATCATGAATCTGGCGCTAAGGATGTTTATTTGATGCTCTCAACAGTTATCAGTTTGAACCAGTCTATTCGAGTATGAACTAAACCATCAAGAAACAAAGTTCTAAAACTTTACTTTCGGACTGAAGAGATTGTTCAGTGGTTAGGAGCACTGACTGCTCTTCTAGAGGTCCTGAATTGAATTCCCAGAAACACATAACCACCCGTAATGAGGCGTGCCCTCTTCTGGCTTTTAGGCAGACTGAATACTATATACATGATAAATCTAAAAAACAAAACAAAACAAAAACTTTTGCGGAATTTTTCAATTCTGTCTTTTATTTTTATTATAAAATATTAGTGTATTTAATATAATTTTTCAACAAAGAAAAAGAAAACACTATGGTAAACGTAACTGACCTCTCTTGTCTTACTGCTCTAGCAATGTGAGCTAGTGTGCTAGGCTGCCACAGGGCCTAGTCTAGGAGTGTGGAGCTGGCATGGACTGGTTAGCAGGGAACTCAGCAGGTTAGGTCTGTATGAGAAACAAGTCCAGAGCTAGGCCCAAGAATGTGAGGTTTGGCAGGTAGGAAGGGTTCTGTTTTCAATTACTCTACTAGTCTGAGAATGATGGGTGAATTGAGACCACTGATATTCAGATTTGTTACTGAAAAGTGTGTATTACTCCCACCATTTGTTGATGTTGTAGTGTTTGGGCTCTAGTCTTCTTTTGTTTGATAAGTGTCTTAACTTCACATGTGTTTTCCTCCTGTCATCTCTTGATGTGTTTATCCTTTGCACATACTAAAATATTCTTTCCAGTATCCTTTGTAGAACTGGATTGATGGTCATAACTTTTCTTTAGCCTGTTTTTCTTTCTTTCACCTTCAGTTATGACAGATACTTTTGTTGGTTTGGCAATTATGATCTTTCAAAGTTTGAAAGCAGTCTACTCTCTTACTGCTTTCATAGATTCAATTGAAAAGCCAGCAATTATTTTAATTGGTCGCCCTTTGTATGTGACTTGGTCCTTCTCTTTCTCAACTTTCAAAATACTTTTTCTTATTCTGTACCTTTGGTTATTTAACTAGAGTATGATGTAAGAGTTCCTTTCCTGGTCCTGTCTATCTAGTGTTCTGTGTGCCTTTTCTATCTAAGGGGCTTCTCTTTTCCTAGATTTAGGAACTTGCCTTCTATGATTTTCATATTTAACCTTTTTTCAGGACAGGGTTTCTCTGTGTAACAGTCCTGTCTGTCCTGGAACTTGATTTGTAGACCAGGCTGACCTTGAACTCACAGAAATCTTCCTGCCTCTGCCTCCCAAGTGCTGGGATTAAAAGCATGTGCCGCCACCACCCAGCTTCTTCTGTAAATTTTTTATATATTTTTTATTTTAAAACAATCTTTTCCCATTTTACATACCAATCCCAGTTCCCACTCCCTCCCCTCCTTCTGCTCCCCCACCTTCTTCCCAACCACTCCCTATCCACTCCTCAGAGAGGGTAAGGCTTCCCATGAGGAGTCAACAAAGTCTGGCATATTACTTTGAGACAGGACCAATGCCCTCCCCACTGTATCTAGTCTGAAAAAGTTATCCCTTCTAAAGAGAATGGGCTCCAAAGAGACAGATTAAGCACTAGGGATAAATCCTGGTCCCACTGCCAGTGGTTCCACAGACTGCCCGAGCCTCACTACTGTCACCCATATTCAGAGGGCCTAGTTTGATTTTCTTTTCCCGTCCGTATGCTCAGAACTTGAAGCTTTGGCCTCAAAGTTCTGGCATGTTCTGTATGTATGTATGTATGTATGTATGTATGTATGTATGTATATCATTGGCCTTAACTGAAGGTCTACTTTCTCTCCCACATGATCTATTCTATTGCTGAGGCTTTCCACTGAAGTTTATATTTTGTTATTGTGTATTTTTTTCCATTTCTATCATCATTCTGGTTTGGATTTTTTTGTATCCCTATTTCTTCATTAAGTTCTATTTTCATATCATTAATTGACTTCTTTATTTCATTCAGCTATCTGTAAAGTCTTGGAAAATCATGATGTCCTCTTTCAGTTCTTTTACCATATTTGTAATCATTTTGTATTTAGTCATTTTGACCTGGGGTCACTTCTACGGGACTGGAGATTTTAAGATGAGGCAAGTTGTCCTGGGTGCCCTGTTTCTTGTGGTTTTGTACTGAATCTGCCCATCTTAGATGAAGTCATTAATTCTTGTTGTTGATGCTGTTTTTCTATTTCAGGTTCTCTCTCTTCTTTTGGGGGATAGGTTTGCAGTGTTCAGGAGAAATGAGGCTATAGTGCAGTTGTGATGTTTTCATTGTTGCACTTGTGTTCCAGGCACCAGCCCTATCTTCAGTCTGTCCTGTAGGTTGAGTACTGTCTCCAGCAATAGTCACTATCTAATAGTTAACTCACTCTGATAATAGAGTAGCAAGTGATTGCAAAACAGACACATGTTTCATGACAATGGGTTTCTGGAGTAAAGAGACTCCAGTAGTACTGACATGAATGCTAATCTGGTGTTACTGTAAGTACAGAGAAAAAGGAAGAGGAAAATGAAAAAGCCAAGAACAGTGATAAGTATTACATTGTTAGATGGGACCAGAGAAGAGGGACATACCTAGAAGTGAGAAAAATGAAGACAGAGGGAAAAGACAGAGTAGGTAAGTGGGTTTGTCAATGATAGACTAAGATGAGGAGACAAAGATATCCATCCATCAATCATAAACCAAATCAATCTCTGGGTTTGGAACAAGAGAAAGGAATGGAGAAAAGGGGGGAGAAGAGAAAGAGAGACAGTACAAAACATGAACAATGGGTAACAGTGTTGATCTGCTATAGCGACCTACTGATGAAACAGCTGTTTGGAGAGGAGGAGATAGGCGATAAGACAGTCATTGGCAAGTAATAACTATAAAGGGAACAAGAGCTGTATAGAGATGTAAAAACATGAGGTTTCTCACTACTGTGTCTCCCTATTCCAATATGGACTATATTTCATGTTGAGCTTTACAAGACCTTCCTACTTTCTCTTCTCATGCTGACTTAGTTGTGGCCTTCTTAACTTTGCTCCTATGTATTGTAATGATCACCTTATTGGTTTCTAATCAATACTAGGCATTATTGCTAGACTTATTGTCATTCTCCATTGTAAAATATTCACTTCTTACTGTTTAGAGTTAGTGTCAATTGCTTAGCCTAGCATTTAAAGTTCCC